TACCTAGCCCAGAACATAGGCCTGACTGGAATGAAACTGGAGAACCCAGCAGACCCTCAGATGATGATCAATCCATTCCAGCTTGATCCAGCAACAGCAGCAGCTTTGGCACCAGGACTTGGTCAGTATCTGTTCTTTTCTCTCTCACTATCTCTTTAAAATATATATGATAATCATAGTTACTGCTTTTATATCTTTAATGCAATTATCTCCTTGAATGGTTTACTCTGATAGGTCCACAGCAGCATATTCTCTATAGAAAATACTAATAGGGATACTATTAGTTTAGTTAAAGGGGGTGGGGTGGGTTTAGGGAATTCACATGCTTCACCTTTTTAATCCCCCCCTTCCCCATGTTATTGTCTGTTTATAGTCATATGCAGTGATTTGCCTGTGAGTCCTGAAACAAACATCTTTTAACAGTTCTGTCTTACACACAAAACACATAGACAAGTATGAGTAAAGAAAAATAAACTGTTTAGCTTTTTGACATTTTATTGTTGTTTACAAACATGACAAATAATTTTTTGTAGAAAAGAATAGATTTTCATTTGGCAGTAATCTCTCTCTTGTTAATAGTGTCTTTCTACTCCAGATGTGTAACTGAGGTACTTGTATCACAGGTTCATTATGACTCTAGTGTGCTATGAATTTGATAATTAACTATATTGATCTGCATGATGAATGGCTAGTTATTAAACACATGAGAAATAATAAAACTTAGGAAGTATATAATGTTTTTTATTGTTGAAAGCATCTCATATACATTAGTTCAGTAATCTTAACAAGAAATCCTGTAAAGGAGCCCGTATTATTATTGCCATATTTCAGGTAGTGGCTTGCCTAAGGTAACCTAACAAATTCATTACTGAGGTGACATTTGAATCAGGGGCTACTAGCTACTACTTGTACCTGCCTCTACCAGCAAATTGTTATGCCTTAAAACAGGAGTAAGCAATTAACGAAAAACAAAAGCAACAGTTAAGCTGTTTCATAGGAACAGTTTTGATATCAATGCAATAAACTATATTATTAGAACATAGTCACAGAAATTGATCTAGTTATCTGATTCCTATCTTTTGTATATGTATATATGTATGTATGTGTCATATATAAAACAATTAGCAGCATTTAAAGGATATAATGAAGCTACAATTAGTGTAGTGTGTTAATCTAAGCTTTTAAATTGCAAAAGCCTTGCTGTTTTGTTATGTTATTGATCAACTCTCATGCCTTTGAAAATACAAATTCCAGAATGACATCATGCCCAGTAGGAGTAATTAAAGCTATCTGATGAGGGAATTTAGAAGTTGAAAGGGATGATTGTAATTGATCCTGATTCAATCCTATTACAGCTTTTTTATAGTTTAAGCTCTAGAGAAAGCAAGCCTCTTGTCAAGGCTTTATTTTATAGATTCCTTTGTATGTGTGTGTATGTGTGTGCACTCTATGCTTTCTGGTCTCTACTTTCCTTTTTAATTTTTTCCCCTGTAGTAAATAATGAGCTGCCACCTGAAATCCGGCTTGCCAGTGGTCAGCTAATGGGTGATGACCTGTCCCTCCTTACTGCAGGAGAGCTGTCACCTTATATCAGTGACCCAGCGCTGAAGCTATTCCAGTGTGCTGTTTGCAACAAATTCACCTCTGACAGCCTGGAGGCCCTAAGTGTGCATGTGAGCAGTGAACGATCTCTCCCCGAAGAGGAGTGGAGGGCTGTAATTGGAGACATTTACCAATGCAAGCTCTGTAACTACAACACGCAGCTCAAAGCCAACTTCCAGCTCCACTGCAAGACTGACAAACACATGCAGAAATATCAACTGGTGGCTCACATTAAAGAAGGAGGCAAAACTAATGAGTGGAGGCTGAAGTGCATTGCCATTGGCAACCCTGTTCACCTCAAATGCAACGCCTGTGACTACTACACCAACAGTGTGGATAAATTGCGCTTACATGCCACCAATCACAGGCACGAGGCAGCCCTGAAACTTTACAAGGTAAGCATTCACCAGCAATTTAAATTGGCCTTCAAGTGGGAGAAAGCTTGAAATAGTAGCAGAATGAAGTTTTGAGTAATCTGCAGGTTGAAACCCCGTTGAATATATTCATAATAAAAACAGCAACAACAGTGATGGCTAAAAAAATGCTGCACAAGAAAGTTTTGTAGCTTTACCCATATAGCTTTTCCTTTCATTGAAACTCTTAATTCTTAAACAAAAATGATGGGATTAAGTTGCTTATGAATAAGTGAATTTCCAATCTGTTCTGACGTACCTGCTAACTTTTAACTGTGAACTTTTCTGGATATTTGAAGTAATGATTATCCCATGCTTTGTATAGTGAAGGAGGTGTCTTCTTGGCAATGTGAAACTGTAAATGATCCCAACCAATGTGTGCTACCTCAATATGTATAGTAAACACAGATTCATAGACCATGTTATTACCATGAGCATTCAAAAGTAAACTTTGTTCTACGTTTGCTTACCCTTATTTTATAAGTCAGTAATATATTTTTTCCAACCAGCATAGAGTGTGGTACAGACTGATGTTAGCGTAATGGTAAATGTATTTTTATCTGGTTTGAAAATAACTTATGCTAGGAGTATGTGGGAATGTTGACTAACATTTAGTCCCCCCCCCCACAAGCTGTGACTTTTTCCAGACCTTAATTACTAGATAACGTTTGTGAAGTGTTTACTGGATTGCCTTGATACTCTTGGTTTGTATACAAATCTGTTAAGAACTCCTCTCCTGATTTAAAGTCAAAAGGATATTGGAAGCTATTTGTATGAACCATCTTTTAAGTAGAGGTAGAAACCTTATGTGGTCTGGGATTTTAATTTATGCAATAAATTGTAATTAACTTCACAGCTAGGAGATAGTTGCTGAACGATTGTCTTTTCTTAAATCCCACGGAAATCCAAAAAAGTTTTTAAAAGCTAAAATCATATAGGAATTTTTATTTCAGTGAAGATAGGCAAACTTTCCATAGTTATCTCTGTTTAAAATATCAAAATGAAAACCAGATATGGAACTTTTAACAGTATTTTGTAGTTCTACATTGTAGATGGAAAGCTGAATTACTGTATATTTAAATTCAAACCTTCCTTCAGTATATTGCAGCTTTAAAATATAAATGTTTTCAATCCTTTAAATCAATACTGTAGTTCTGTTCCTAAGTCATATGAACTTATCTCATGTAAATGGACAATCACAGGAGAATCCTGGAAGAATAAACTAGTCTTTCAGGCCAAAGCTAGAAAGGTGAGAGGGGAATAGCTGCTGTGGGTTGAGACAGTTGTGCTTCTGGGTTTTGAATCCAACAAGAGAGCATATTGTCATATATATTTTTCTTTGACAGGGATTTCAGTTCTTTTTAGCAAATACTTGGCCTTCAGCCTTTTCCTTTTGGCCCTTTGAATATTAGCTCAAGCTGGCCTTCATGTGCGTAATGGCATGCTCTGAAATGACCTTCACTTGACTTACCGAGGGTGGAATGCATCTCCTTGCAGGCAGACTGCTGAAGGTTTTGCCCACTGCTTACTCTTCAGTTGTAGGTAGAATGAAAATGTTCATTTGGTGATTCAGGGTGCAGCAAGTTTTTCATGGAAGGTGAATAGATCACAGCTTTACAGACCTACAGTCTTTATGAGTCTCTAAAACAATTCTGAGTTTCCGCATACATTGAAGTATGTTTCAGCTTCTCTGATGCTTACTAGAAGAGGAGACTCTTTTATTCTCAAGCAAATGATATTAGCACTATTGTCAAATCTTTCCTTGACCCTCTCTTATTTTGAGAAATTGTCGAAGGAACATTTTTTATATATTATACACAACAGAAATTATAAATAATATTCAACTCCTTTTGAAAAGAAGATGACACGAACATGGTTTAGTGGTAAAAAACTTTAGCACTCGAGAGAGTAAAAGACAGCACAATAGATTTCCTCGTTTGTTTAGCACATTATACTTTGGGGATCCCATAGGCTCCATTACATTAAGATGTTGTTTGTGAAATTTTCATTTATAGATGTTACCATAACAATGTGATATATTCTTCTGATGCTTAACTATTGAGGAATTTTTTAAAAAAATTGCTCTTAAGGACCAAAGTGATTAAGTGTTCTACAAACATCAGAGTATTTGGGCTAAAGCTATATAACTGAAGGTACTATTGAGAAACATTCAAAATATATTACAAAACATACATCTCTAATATATCTGGTCACAAATGCTGTTTCTTGGCTTGGGCAAAATTGCTCTCCACAGTATCCTGTTCAGAAGACCAGGACAGAATAAGAGTCACCACATTCTGCGGAAGCCATTTTATAGCACCTGTTCACACAATCCTGCGGTATGAGTTGACTGCAGCTGTCCTGTTATGCTATACTCATATGTTATCCTATACTAATATGAGATAATATAGATAAGGGCTTAGATCTTCTGGTTTATGCTAATAGAAGGGATTTCTGTCAGTGGTGTGGACCTTCCTTGCCTTCCCCCTCTTACTGGAGCCCCAGACCTGCTCCTTGAGGAAAGGGAGAGGAGGCCCTGTTGTTGCATTCTCCCAGAATGTTTTAGGGACATGCAGGAGGGTCTCTGGACTGAAATTTAGTTATTGCGCATAATGCTCATATAACTATAGTTATATGAGTATTCACTTTTAGTTATATAGGCATTCATGATTACAAAGGAAGCACTAACTGGAGAATAACTCATTTCACCAGTTACACAATATTGTGCCTTGAGTAATGGCAAAATGGGACAGAAGTAATTCATCGAAGGAAGACATTTGGACTCATAACAGAGTGAGCTGCACTGCTTGGAGAAAAGCTGTCACATGCTCTGCAGCAACAACACTTGCATTACTTGTGTGCAATAGCTCTCATGAATGATGTGAAAGTGACTTACAGGGAAGTCCTGTACTGAGTTACACCAGTCTAAACTACTGACATTGATGGATTTAGATTAAAGGGACTCTACAAAAAGTTGCACTGTTGTTATATTCAAACTTTAGTCCTTGTTCCCTGAATTCATTAAATAATTTGTGTAATTAGGTGCTTAGTGTTATCAAGCTATGTTGATTTATATTAACAATTAACAATTTAAGCTGCAGTCTTAAAATAACTTAGAATGAGCTACACTGATACCAGTGAGATTTATTTCCATGTGATGGATTTAGGATTAATATAATATATGTATGGTTGGCTAATGAAATGATTTGTAGTTGTGGGTTGGATCATTAGACTTCCTTCCACTAAGTTATGAGCCTTGTCCACCAGAGGACTTCTTCACTTAGTACAAAGTAGTTACAGTGGCCAGCTCTGTAAGAACAAATAATAAATTAGATTGGCACAATTATTTGTGGTTTAGTAGCTTGTATGAGTTTTATTTAGTATTTATTTTCTGTTTCCCCTTACATAGTCATTTCTACTTTTAAGGGTACTTTACAGCAGCAATGAAAAGAAACAAACAGATGTATAAAAACTATTTTCCTTGTTTCCCCTTTGCTGATTTAAATATAGATTCATAACAATTTTAATATTAGGATTGTCAGCTCAGTTTGAATAGATCACTTTACCTCTCACTCTCTAACAAGAAAGTTGAGTGACCTAATTCCAGTTTAAGAAGGTGAAAGGTTAGTTCAAAAGCATCATCTGCCTAACTGCTTAGCTTTAAACTGATCAATTTAATGAAAATCTGTTTTACAGATGGTGTTTTAATGTCTTTGGCAGGATTTGGGCAGCCTTAACATTAGATGTAAGCTAGTAAACATTATTTTTTATTTGATCAGAGCAACACCTTTTCTTTTATGTTTTATGGGAGAAAGCATATGGGATATGGTATTTTGGCAGAGGACCCAAAGCAGAAAGTGTTGATGATCTTTCCATATGGATTCAAATATCTTTGTCTATTGCTGAAAGTGATTGAGGACACAAACAATGCTGTATTCATTTCTAACTATAATTTTTCTTTTTTGAAACAGCAGTTACAATGGTTGTTTAAAGTGCCTGCCTCTATTTCCATTAATGGAAGGCACTAGTATGCCAAAGCTATAATCCAGAATGGGCCAACTGCACTATTTACATGAAAGTATTCATTGCACATATATAAAAGATGTGACCAAACTGTGGCTTGCAAACATGTAGCTTCTTTGTTGTGCAAGCAGTTTAAGAAAGCAAATAGAAATTGGTAAACACTTAATTTGGCTTCCATTTGGTATTGCTCACTTGAGCAAAGGAAAGAAGAGAATGTGCAGCAGAATTCCACATTTTCCTTTAGGCAGTTGGGCAACTTTAGATTTCAGCCTCCCTCCCTTCCATTTTACTCATTGGTTATATATTTTATTTTCTCTGGGGCAGTCTTTCAGCTGGGAGAGACGCCTTCCTTCAAGCCCCATTGGCCAGGAAGCATAGAGGATAGGGATGGGCACAGACTGGAAAAATGGAGGTTTGTGGTTCATTAATTTCATGAACCACGAACTTCCACGGACTTTCCCAGTTTATGAACCGGTTTGTGGTTTGAGGTCCGTGATGGGCACGACTCAGAAGTGGGCTTAGAAGAAATTTAAACGCCTTCTGAGCCCACTTCCAGAGTGGCGCAACACCAGGGAACTCAGGAGGCATTTAAATGCCTCCCAAGGCCATTTCCAGATCATGCTGCCATTGTGACACGCCACCATTGTGACATGCCACCATTGTGCGATCCAGTAGTGGGCTTGGGAGGCATTTAAATGCTTCCTGAGCTCACTGGCGGGGGTGGGGGCCCTGATGGACTGGTCCAATGGACCAAATGGACTGTGGAAAAAATCGTGGTCCGTGGATGGTCCATAAAAACTGGAAATGCACGGACTGGGCAAATGGACCACAAACTGGGTCCCAGTTTTTCATGAAATTAGGTCTGTGCCCATCCCTAATAGAGGTGTAGGCAGCGATAGTATATTTCCTCCTTCAGAACGGTTGTGGATGAATATGAATGTATGTGCATGGTGGGGTGC